CGGTTCATGAGTTCGAGCCCTGCATCAGGCTCTGTGCTAACAGCTCAGAGCCTGGAGCCTGCTGGGATTCTGTCTGTCTCTCTCTCTCTCTCTCTCTCTCTCTCTCTCTCTGCCTCTGTCTGCGTGCCCCACACTGGTACTCTGTCTCTCTCTCAAAAATAAATGAACATTAAAAAAATTTTTAAATCAACACTCCGTCCAAGCCTTTTAATTTTTTAAAAAATTTTTTTAACGTTTATTTATTTTTGAGACAGAGAGAGACAGAGCATGAACAGGGGAGGGGCAGAGAGAGAGGGAGACACAGAATCCGAAACAGGCTCCAGGCTCCGAGCTGAGGGCACAGAGTCCAACGCGGGGCTCGAACTCACGGACCGTGAGATCATGACCTGAGCCGAAGTCGGCCGCCCAACCGACTGAGCCACCCAGGCACCCCATAAGCCTTTTAATTTTTAAAGTAGGATTGTGTATGTATGTAGGATTGTGCCCACTTGCAGAATAAAAAAAAATGTTTAAATGTACATCAGATGGTGCAGTTTCTGGGGCCGGGGGTGCAGCCTGAGAGTGTGCGTTTCGAGATGCCCTCCTGCGTGGCCTCCTGATGGTGATGTAGCTCTGTGCAGTAGAACTTGGGCAGCGACGGAAATGTTCCATATCTGCGCTGCCCAGTACGTTAGCCTCTAGCCACTTGTTGCTACTAAGCACTTAAAAAGGTGACTAGCGAAAGTAAGGAACTGAATTTTAAACTATTTACTTCTAATTACTTTTTTGATTTAAAGAGCCACACGTGGGCTGGTGGCTTACTGCAGGAGACAGTGCAGTTCTCAACTGTTAACTTTCTGGGATTATGTCTTGTTTATCTGTGTGCCTCTTCGGGATTTGCATGTTGTAGGAACAAGCATGATGACACTAATGTTTCCTTATGTTACACTCAGGTTGTGTTTTCGGGACTCCTTTCATGTATAGGATCTTATTGAAGCTTCCCAATGGTCCTAGTATTGCCCATGTGGGTACTGAGCGATCGCTTTGTCCCAGTCACCGTCCCAGATGTTTTCCAGGCACTAAGTCATTTGTGCCTTGAAATAACCCAATGAATGAGCCCCATTCTACAGATGAGGACATTGAGGCACAGATCCATCAGAACCCTGCTCAAGTCACTGCACCAGGCAGTGATATCAAAGCTGGGCTTTGAGCCTAGGATCTAGTCTGGCTCAGACCGCTCGCATTTAGCTTGATGCTTTATTGCCTTAGAACATACCTTCTCTTCCATAGGTGTTTCCTTTTTAACAGGTGCAACAGTGCTGCTTAGACTTTCCCAAAGGCATGACCGGCAGACCAGTGCCCAGCTACCACGTTTTATGTATGTTGATTGATGGAGACAAGGTGACTGGTTCTGAGCACTTCTGTCCCAAGCCAGGTCCCACCGTCACGCTGGCCCTGTGTCCTGCACTCAGGCCGTTTTACATCCACCACCTGGCTGGTCGCCATCAGCCCCAGGACCTTAGGCAGTGCCTCCTTTCAACAAGGAAGAGTAGAATGGGTGGTGGAAGAGTGTGGGCAAGGCAGGGAAGGGGCAGAAGGAAGGACAGGAGGACAGGTGGCCTCCCGAATGGCTAACATTTATGGAGCGCCTGTAATTGTCAAGGTCGCGCTGGGTGCTTCCTACCTATTCAGCCACTCTCACAGCAGCTCGTGCAGAGCACCTGCTGTTCCTGGAATGAACCCCAGGGCGGTGGGTACCAGAGTGAGAGGATCAGCCCATGCTGCAGGGAAATGTATAGACAGACACACCATCTGGAACTGTGGAGGAGCTGGGGATGTTTCTGAGCCCTGACTCTGCTATTTGTTTGCTCTATGACATGAACCGAGTCGCCTAACTGCTCCCAGCTTTGATTTTGCCTCTGACAAGTGGTTAATACAACACCTGCTGCTGACACCTTGGGAAGTCATATGACACGATATGTCACAAACATTCGGGACAGTGCCTGGCACGTAGCAAGCTCTCAGGAAACGTCTGCATCCATGGCATTGGTACAGGTGCTACCCCTAAAAGCAGGTGTGCAACTGGCTCTAAGAACCCCAGTAAGAGTCTACCATGTGCCCTTCCCCCAGCAAAGCAGACAGGAGGATCCTGATAAACAGGAGATAAATGCATGGCCTGCAGAAACTTGGTCTAGAGAAGACTCAAAGCGCTTGGAGGTTGGATGGAGGTCTCTCAGGTCATGGGCTTTTAAGAGGACTTCCCGGAAGAGGTGGCATGTGAGTTGGCCTTGAAGGCTAGGTAGAAGACGAGTCCGACATTCTGTAGCTAGGGCTGGGGGCATTCTGGGTAGAAGAGGCACAAGCAGCCACAGGGAGGGCTGGAGAAGTCTGGGGTGCTTGCAAATAGCAAGTATTCCAGTTTTTTCGGAGTTCAAGGGGATCTGTTGGTGAGTGTGGGAGATACAGATGAAGAACAGGGTTAAAGTCAGACTGCGGAAGGCTCTGATGCCAGGCCATCGAGTTTATATGTCATTTTGTGGGCAGTGAGGGGCTTCTGGAGGTACTTTTCCTCCCCAGTTTTCACTTTTATTTACTTGAAATTTCACACCCATTCTACATTTAATATGGAAAGTCAGAGGTCCAAGAGTAGCCAAGAAACTCTTTTTTTTGTAAAATTTTGTTGACGTTTATTTATTTTGAGAGACAGAACAGAGCGTGAGCTGGGGAGGGGCAGAGAAAGAGAGAAGGAGAGAGAGAATCCCCAGCAGGCTCCATGCTGTCAGCACAGAGCCTGATGAGGTAACTCACGAACCGTGAGATCATGACCTGACCTGAGATCAAGAGTCAGATGCTTCACCAACTGAGCCACCCAGGCACCCCCAGATTTCCTTAGTTTTGACCTAACATCCTTTTTCTGGGCAAGAGTGTCCCTTTAGCGTCCCCTGGGCTGTGACAGCTTTTCAGATTTTCCCTGGTTTTGTTGACCTTCACATTTTTGAGGGGGACCGGTCAGGTATTTTGTAGACTGTCCCACCATTGGAATTTTTCTCTTAACTAGATGATGAGGGGGTTACAACTACCCCTCCGCCTTTTATCCTTTACTCTTGAAAGGAAGTCACTCTAGGCAGCCTACACTTAAGGGTTCTACGTCCTTGAGGGCAGAATACCTACGTAAATTTTTGGAATTCTGCACAGATTTATTTTTCTTCATATATTTATTTATTCAATTATCTAATTGTATCAGTATGGACTCATGAATATTTATGGTTTACTTTGGGTTATAATCCAATAGTACTGGACTTATTTTGTTCAGATTGTTCTCAACTTCGGACCAACGTTCAGTTGGTTTCTGTGTCCCTTTGATGTTCTCCCATCATTGTGGTGTGTGTGTGTGTGTGTGTGTGTGTGCGCGTGCACGCACGCGTGTGCATGTGCGTGCACGTGCTTTCTTACTTCCTGGCACTACAGGATGCTCCAGGCTCATCTTGTATATTTCTTGCCCCAATCCTAAAATCGGCCATTTCTCTGAGGAAACCTGGTTCCTTTTATGGGGCAATCGTGATAGAAACAAACCATGGATCCAATGCTCATTGCCACCTGGGTGTCATTGTTTCTACATCCACATACAGCAGAGGGAGCCGGGAGATCTCTGTGTGTATACGAACCTGTCTACATACACATGTCTGTAAATATTCTCCAGGACTGTGAAATGATAAGTGCCTGTTGCTCCAAGCCAGCCAGTTTGTACAGCAGCTCTAGGAAATTAGTACAAGTCCCTTCCCCTCCTCTTCAGTGAGTTCCCCTTTCCTTTTTTTTTCTTTCAAAAAAATTTTAATGTTTTTGAGAGAGAGAGAGAGAGAGAGAGCGCACAAGTGGGGGAGGAGCAGAGAGAGAGGGAGGCACAGAATCTGAAGCAGGCTCCAGGCTCCGAGCTGTCAACACAGAGCCCGACGCAGGGCTCAAAGTCACAAACTGTGAGAACATGACCTGAGCTGAATTCAGGCGCTTAACCGACAGAGCCACGCAGGTGCCCCTGCCTTCTTTCTTCTTGACCCTCATGGTGTCCTCCACATGGCCAGCTCTCTGCCTGCCTTTGTCGTTTTGTGTTTTGTGTGCCTCTTTGGCTCCTTCCTACCCATTCTTTCCAAACTCCACTCAGAGACCAGCCCTCTAGATGCCTTGGCTCATGCCCCTGAGCGGAGTTAGGTCCCCTGTTGCATACGGCCCTTTGCACATCCCCACAGTTACCGCCGTGTTGTATCCTCCTCTTACCTGACTGTCAGCTTCTTGAGGGAGGACTCCTACCTTTGTGCTTCCGGTGTGTGCAGGTGCTCAGGTGTTGGATAAATGAGGAGGCAGCTGCAGAAATGTAAGCCTGCGATTAAGTGCCTGGCAGCTCCAGAATGTGATCTGGGAGCGTCTCGGATGGCATTTGGTTTGCAGAAGTTGAGCCTTGAAACTGAATTTGCTTAGCACTTAACAAGTGTAAGGAAATTATAGTTGTTGAAATTAGAGATGGGGAGATCAGGCCACCCTGTGCAGGCGGGTCAGCAATGAGTGTGGTCGCCTCCCTCTACAACCCCATGGAAGCAGTCACCAGTATCCTCTGTGTCAGATGAAGTATCCAAGGTGTACATGGGAACTCCTCCGTGAAGGTCACACACAGCTAGTTCGCGCAGGCTGGGACTGCAGCCTAACTGGGTTTGTCTGACTCCAGGGCTACCGAGGTTTGTCATCCTGGGCGGCATTTAGGTGCTTGAGGTCACCCACCTTGTGCACAAAGACCAGCCTAGACCTAACGGAGGTGAGAGCGAGGCCGGAATCCCAGCCTTACCTAAGACGGAAGGGTGCAAGGGAGCACAGCTGTTCCGTGTGGACCCCAACCGTTCCCACAGCTGTTCTGCATTTGCTGTGACTGGGTGAAGAGAACTACACCTCCCAGGAAGCAGCGCGGCGCCCTGGCTGCCCCCCTCCCTACGCCCCGCCCCGGGGAGGCTCATATATAAGGGCGGAATGGCCCGGCCTCCGGCAGAGCGCAGAGGCAGCGAGGGCGTGCGGCGCGGTCCTGGGCTTGGGGGAAGGCGGCCACCAGGGCTGGCCTCCGCGGCTCCGCGCCTCTCCCCCGGCCTCTCTTGCCCCGCGGCGTCCAGCCTGCGCCGCCAGGGCCCCGCGGACCTGCCAACCCGAGGCCAAGAGTGGAATTGCCCTGCCGCTTTCCCGGGCTTGGCGGAGGGGATCCCGGCGGAGAGCTCGGCGCTCACGATGGCGATGCGCAGCGAGGAAAGGCGAGGAGCTGCGTGCGGGCTGGGTGCCCTCGGAGCGCCGGGAGGCGGGGAGCGCCCGCCGCCGGGCCGGGGGATGCTGCCGCTTGGGAACCCCCGCGGCGAAGTCTCTCCATCTCCGCGGGGCTCCAGCACAGAGGTCGGGGCTGCAGGCCCTTTGGCCTTGGATGGAAAGTGGGAAATGGGGCGCGAGGCTGCGGACCCCCTAACGTGGATTACTTGGTGCGTGTCAGCCGGGCTCAGAAGACCCACGACCTCGTCTCCATCCTCGGATTGATTCATTCCACCTGGCAGTCGGGTCGCTTTACCTAGAGGTAAGTTTCCCTGCGATTCGAGGGAGGGGGTTTGAGTGGACTCGTCTCCCCCCTGCCCCCCTACCCCGCGACGCTTTCTGAAGGTCTTGGACTAAATTTTTGTCGTTGTACTGACATCTTCGCAGAGGTCGTTTGGCCGTCCTTCTGCCTCCAGGCGGAGCCGACTGGCCGGGTCGCGGTGGTCAGCGTTCATGCCGGGCGTGCGGGGTCATCGCCGTCCGCCCCCCAGCGCCGCCAAGTCTCTGGCTGCCCCGCGGGACAGACCCTCCGCGGGGGAAAAGGCCCCTCGCCCTTACCTTTTCCCTTGTCGCCCTCCGGGGCCCGTTACTTCGGAAGCGGTGCCGCCTCGGGGAGCTCCCGACCTCTGCCCACGGGCGACCCAGAATGCGGCTGGGGCGCAGCGCCTGGCGGTGGCGCCCGGGCCGAGCCCCTCTCGCCGTGCGGGGTGGGGGCTGGGGCGTGTCTGGATGTCCCTGTCGCCGGTGCCTTGGTGAGCGGCTTTGCTGCAAGCCACCCCCCCCCCCCCAACTCCGGGTCAGGCGGACGCCAGGGTGGTGTGGGCAGGGCTTTCTGGAGAGGTGGGAGACGGCAGGATTTCGGTCCACTGCGTCCACCCGCGCCCCTACCCCGTACGCCCCCACCCCAGCGCAAACTGTTTCTGGAAGGGGTTTCAGGGCCAGCGTGGCGCGGGCGGGGGCACTTAGTCTTGAGTCCTGAGCTAACCGCTCTCCTTCCTCTCCCTGTCCTTTTGTGTCGGTGCTGTTTGGGGCAACTCCGTGCCTGTCACTGCACTGAGTAGGCGCGGAATACGTGTTTGTTGAATGAATGACTGAGCGACTCCGCCTTGATGTACAGATAAAGCCGGGTCCCTCCTTTACCTTCTCCCTCCTTGCCACTTGTCCTCAACTCCAGGACAACCTCCGCCGCCCCCCCCCCCCCCAGATGGCTTCCTGGAGATGCTTTCCCAGATGTGGGACTCCCTTCCTTCCTCCCAACCCTGTTGGCAGCCTGTTGGCGATGGTCCATTTCCCACCCAGAAGTCCCTCCTGCGCAGATAATTTCTGGGAGCTGTCAGGGGTCTCCCTTGGTATGTTCTCAGGGCGCCATGCCTCCAGTGAGCACCTGCTTGGGGAAGAAGGGAGGGCCAGGCGTTGCCGGAGGGAAAGAGGTAATATGTATTAATACTGCCCCCTCCCCCCAGGAGCCTGTGCCTGTGGCCGTGCCCAGGTCCCTGGACCTGCCCACGTTGGTGTGGCACCTTTTCTTTTGGCCCTTCCCCACCCTCTCCCCCTGCCAGCCCCTGGGAGACTGTTAAACTGCTCCACGATTGACTCGTAGCTTCACCACGGCAGCTCACTCTGACCTTAGAAGCAATCCGCGCACTCTCTCTCTTTAGGAAACTACAAAAAAAGTGTAAAGAGCAGGAAAAAAAATACCCAGTTCCAAGTAGTGCTGGCAGCCTGACGTATTTGCTCACTGCTGAGATCTTGCGCTAGAGACAACTTCGTTCACTGCTTTTTTCCTCTCGGTTTTACTTAACAGTCCCCACGTGATGACTGGGTTCCACTGCCCGCGTCAACTCCCGATCTGCTTGACAGTTCCCCTACTGTTGGGCGCTAAGGTACTCGTAGATTTTTACCCTTAGAACTAAGGCATCAGTGGGGCGCCTGGGTGGCTCAGCCGGTTGAGCGTCCAGCTTCGGCTCAGGTCATGATCTCGTGGTCCGTGGGTTCGAGCCCCACGTCGGGCTCTGTGCTGACAGCTCAGAGCCTGGAGCCTGTTTCGGATTGTGTCTCCCTCTCTCTGCTCTTCCCCCGCTCGCGCTCTCTCTCTCTCTCTCAGAAATAAATAAACATTTAAAAAATGAAGAAAGAAAAGAACTAAGGCATCATTGAGCATCATTTGTACATAAAGATGTGTCCACTTTTTGGATGATCTCCTTTGGAGAATTCCCAGAAATCACTCTGTCTGCTTTTAGTCAGAGTCATGGCTGCAGTGGACATTCCCATGGTGGGATTGAAGAGAGCCCCATGTCCCCATCAGATAATACCGCAACTGGGAGCCAGAGTACAGGAGCTGGGAAGACACTTGCTGAGTAAATGCAGTGTTTCATTTCGAGTTTCCTGAAGCCCAGGGTTGACCAGCACTGGTATGAGAGTAACTTAAAAATTTGTGTCCAGGATTATGATGTAAATTATTTTAGCAAGGCCCCAAGCTAAGATTTAGTAGGCAGCTGGATTAAAAATGCTGTCCTTTTTAAAAAGAATTAACTTTTGGGGCGCCTGGGTGGCTTGGTCGGTTAAGCGTCCGACTTCGGCTCAGGTCATGATCTCACACTTTGAGTTTGAGCCCCGCGTCGGGCTCTGTGCTGACTGCTCAGAGCCTGGAGCCTGTTTCAGATTCTGTGTCTCCCTCTCTCTCTGCCCCTCCCCTGTTCATGCTCTGTCTCTCTCTGTCTCAAAAATAAACAAACGTTAAAAAATAAATAAATAAATAAATAAAAAGAATTAACTTTTGATTTGGATGGAAATCTATATTTATAGGAAAGTCACAAAAATAGTACATGGAGGTCCCCTATACCCTTTACCCAGCTCCCCTAAATGTTAACATCTTACGTATCCACAGTGCTATGGTCAAAGCCATTGGACTGACACTGACAGGATACTTTGAACTCACCTTCAGGCCTTATTCAAGTTTCTCCACTTGTCCCACTAATGTCCTTTTTCTCGTCCAGGGTCCCATTCAGGATCTTGCATTGCAGAAAATTCTGTCTTGTAAAAAAAGTGGGAGTGGAGAGGGATTCAGAAGACCCTCTTCTTTCTTTTCAACCACTTTATTGAGGTGTGATTGACAGACACAAAGCTGTACATATTTAATGGATATCACTTGATGAGCTTGGTAATAAGTATACACCTTGAGACCCTTACCACAACCTAGGCCACAAACATCCATTGTCTACAGAAGTTTCCTCCCGCCCTCTTTATTATCATTATTATTTTGTTGATAAGAACACTCAACGAAAGATCTTCCCTCTTAGCAAATGTTTAAGTATACAATGCAGTATTGTTAACTGTGGATGCTGAGAGGGAACACTAGGCCTTGCAGACCATCTTTACTCTGGAGAAGGTTTTATTTATTTATTTATTTATTTTTATTTTTATTTTTTTTTTTTCAACGTTTATTTATTTTTGGGACAGAGAGAGAGAGACAGAGCATGAACGGGGGAGGGGCAGAGAGAGAGGGAGACACAGAATCGGAAGCAGGCTCCAGGCTCTGAGCCATCAGCCCAGAGCCCGACACGGGGCCCGAACTCACGGACCGCGAGATCGTGACCTGGCTGAAGTCGGACGCTTAACCGACTGCGCCACCCAGGTGCCCCACTTTTTAACTTTTTTAATGTTTACTTATTTTTGAGAGAGAGAGACAGAGCATGAGCAGGGGAGGGGCAGAGAGAGAGGGAGACACA